ATTTAACAGGATAGTCTTTGATTATTATTGCAGATGAGCACATCTAATAGACATGACACAGGCATCTGAGTGATGTATGTGTGCTATTATGTAGAATTCACTGTTGTCAACACTGCTTTAGATGAATGTAAGTCATGTAAACAAACAAATCTACATAAAGTAACTAAACATAAGTTATCTATTTTATTTGTCCATTTGTAATATTGATAATGTAAGGAACATTTGTGTTGGATAAAAAGCGAGTTACATCAGCAACTACCTCAACATGTAAATGCAGTATTGAGCAGATAAATCACAGAGGTGACTTGACTCTTGTCTGGATGTTACAGGAACAGAGGAGACACACATGTGTTTATCCGGTGCAGAGTGACTGATGAAGGAATGCTATATAAACATTGAATCTGATTAGACCGTTAGCATCTCGCTCAAAAATGACCAAATAGTTTCTATATTTTTCCTATTTAAAACTTGACTCTTCTGTAGTTACACTGTGTACTAGACAGATGGAAAATGAAAAGTTGCGATTTTCTAGGCTGATATGGCTAGGAACTGTACTCTCATTCCGGCGTAATAATCAAGGAACTTTGTTGCCGTACCATGGGTGCAGCAGGCGCAATGATATTACGCAGCACCTGAAAATAGGCTTATTGGAAGTTACCTAGCTGGGGACTATTTTCAGGCGCTGCGTAATATCATTGCACATTTGGCTTGGAGTGCAGAGTTCACGTAAGGGTCTCTGTGCTAGCCATCAGCAGGACTGGATGCATTAGCATTAGCAGTTGTGCAGGTCAACAGGTCAGCATCCATTCTATTTACCCTCCATTTCGGCAGATGACATAGATAACATCTGGCTGGATTGTGGATTCAACTCTAAATCCGTAGGTGTGAGGGGCTAATAAGCCTGCTAGCCACACTCTGGGGAAAACAGTGTTAAGGATGCACGCTTAAACAGTGAGATAAATGCTTTGTGCGTTTAGATACTGATATGCTCAGTACGTTTACTGTGCATGTTTAATGTATATATGGGCAGTTACATGAGAGCATTAAAAAAAAATATATATAGTGATAAATAGCATGACTATGGCAGGACAAAAGGTTGTCACTGCCATATAGAGAGGTCGAGCAGAGATAAATAGTACTGTTTTGATTTAAAACATCAGAGACAAACCACTTGAAAATACCGTACATAGTAAATAAAATAACTCTATAAATAACTCTCTAACTCTATTCTATGCATCCATGCATTATGTATTACTGTAGGTGCTTAGCAAAATTGCTTTAACAGCAAAAGGCCTTTAACAGGTGTTACTGATGTACTAGATCAGGGCTTCTGAGCTGGTTTTGCTTCAGGAGCCATAGTTTACATCTGAAATCAATTGATGACCCAATACAATAACAAATTTGCAACAAAATGTCCTTAAAATATATGATTATTATTGTTTATTATATGTACTAAATCAATAATTAAAAACTCTAACTTCACAAGATTAGTTTATATAGTTTGGACAAATGTATGAAATCATTATATCATAATGTATGTAAACATTATCTTCATAGAAAATCTTTCAAAAATAGAAACAGTGTTACTTGTAATACAGCAAGTCATTAATTCAAAGCATGCCAAATATTTATTATTTATTCATTTATTTATATTCGTGTTAATGTTTCCATTCACATAATCATTGCTTTAAAACCTGAGACAATCACCAAAACAAATCAAAATTATTGCCGTCCAGTTTAGTTATTTTAAAGATCAGGGCCCATATTCACAAAACATTTTATCTTACCACTAAGAGTTCTCCTAAATAGCAGTAAAAGTTTTTAGCTAAGAGTTTTCTCTTAAAACCTATTCACAAAGCTGCTGAGGCAAACTTTTACTAAGGAATAGAGAGAAGTCTTAAAGTGCCCCTATTATGGATTTTTGAAAATTACCTTTCAAGCAGTGTGTAACACAGCTCTAAGTGAATGAAAACATCCTGCAAAGTTTTAAATCTGAAAGTGCACCGTGTATAAAGTTATTGTCTCTCAAAAGAAAGAGTCGACTCTGAATCATTGAAACGAGTCGTTTTTTAAATGAATCCCAAGCCGTTTCATGTTGGGGTCAACATGAAACATTAGCATATTGCCCGCCCACTTCTTGGTCTTTTCGTGTTGGTCTGAATGAAAATGCAAATTCATTCTTTGCCACCAGGTGCTGCTTTTGGAGGTAAAATAGTTGTTTCCCCAGTAACACTGTACACAAAGCAGCACTGTGCTCACAAACACTGGTTTATCAGGCGTTACAGTCATGATGAAATGAAAATTAGACCAATCGGACCAATCACCGTAGATTAGCGACACGCAAATGAGAGGTTTGGAAAAATGAATCGTTAAACGAATCATTTGGGAGTCGTTGAGCAAGTAAGGCAAAAATAAATGCATATTATAAGACAATGAAAGTGTTTTTTGACCTTGCATGCTTGTCAACCTATTGTTGGGGACTCCCAAAACCAAAATATGAACCTTTCATAACCCATAATAGGGGCACTTAAAGCTAAGAGTAAGGGCGGGGTTGACCTCGTTGCTATATGAATGATGTCAGCGTGCTTACTAACTATGCACACAGTGATTGGCTGATAGTCTCTGTCAGAGATTTATTCATAGAAATATTGTAGAGTGCAATATTATGTCGCCATATTCAAATAAAGGTTTAAAAAATAAAAATGTTGCCACATTCAAAGATTTTAAAATGCAGACTAAGTGTCACTAATTAAACAAGCTAGTTGTCAGCCTCTTAACATGTGTGGTTCTCGTAAACAATTAGCTGATCTGCATATAAAAAGCCTTTTAATTAACAGAGTAGAATAATCATGGCTGATAGTAAGACATGCAAATGTAAAAGAAAACCAAACTGGACGCAAGAACAGCTGTTACTTCTTCCCCAACTGGTTAATGAAAACAAGGATATAATCAAAGGAAAATTTGGAGTTGGGATAACCTCCCAAACCAAAAAAGATGCATGGGAAAACATGTGTGCAAATAAATACAGCGTGTTTCTAAAATGTTTACGTTCTGAGGCAGATTGCCGGCAACAGCCATTTTAGCCCGGCTGAAAAAAAACAAGAGAAACCATCACATGTTTTTTAATGGTTTTACTGGTTATAATGGGAATTGTACTGGTTTTAATGGCAACTGTAATGGTGCCTGTTGGTCTCTACTGGTAACTGGTTAGCTTCTATTGGTGGCTTGTTAAAACCACTAATGAAACCTGTCCAAAAAACACACTACAGGAAAAAATGTTTTTATGATTTTAATGGTTAAAAGTTGATGGTTTGTATAAAGTATGTAATGGTATTTGTAGTGGGAACCATTAGGATTTCTGTGATGGTTTCTATTGTTTTGTTCAGCAGGGAGGATAGGCATAGTTTGTGGCTTGGTCTTGACTTAGGAGTCCTCTTCACTACTCCTAATGTTTCACAGATTTAGGAGCTATTTTTAACGCTAAAATGCGTTGTGAAATTCTCTTAGAGCAAAAATGTAGGAGTCCTAAATTTAGGACTGACGTGCCCATTATTTTTAAGATTTTCTCCCAAATCTGCAGGTTAGGAGCTACTTTTAGACTTAAGATGTTTTGTGAATACGGGCCCTGGTTATTTATTATCAAACAATTATGCAATGTGATACATTAAATATCATTTTTAGAGATGCTGAAAGAAAGATGTAAAATTACTGTAATTTAGTTGTTATAAAATATATTCACATTACCTAACCAAATTGACACAAAATCCGAAGGCAATAAAAATAGTACCAAAGCGATTCAATAGATTATAGATTAAATGTACCATATGTCACAGCCTGTCAGAAGACAAAAACAAACACAAAAAGTAATTGTAGGGTGTCAGAAGGATTTATTAGCTGCCAAAGTATAAAATATCATAAAACGCAAACCATTTAAATTGTGTGTGCATATGTGTGTTTGTATACAGGTGTGTCTAAACATGTGAGGGACAAGTGTCCTTACTAATATAGTTAAATTACTGATTTGTGAGGATATTTTATGTGCTCACTAATTAAACTGTTTTGTCCAATACAGGCAAAAAATATATATAATTAAAAAAAACATATCATCATCTTTTAGCAATTACAAATAATTTTGCAAAATAACTTTCAGTGTATTTAAGACATATCACAGTTTAGTGTGTGAGATTATGTTTTAAACAAAGATATGTGGTAGATAAATGACCAGTAAAATAATATCGTTTGTCCAGTGTTTGAACTGTGTCAGAGCCCTGTATCTGTGAACAAATATCTGGAACATTTAATTTTATTTTGTGGTTTCACTGACTTGATTAACTTAAAACATAAGACTCTTACTGTTACGTATCCGGTCCATGAACTTCCGTCTGCTAGCCATCAGAGGTCACCCTTTCCATTTTCATTGACTCTCGCACTACACACTGTTGCACATCAACCCGGACTACATATCCCATCATTCATTGCACTGATTGCACACAGCTGTTTCACTGATTGCACACAGCACTGATTGCACACCGCTGTTTCATATCACTCACTCACTATTTAACACTCACTCTGATCCCTTCCCGGTGCCGAGTATTGTATGTGCTTATAGCCCCCAGTGATAGCTACTCTACAGAGCCCACTTTAGCTGTTCATTGACCTACGCTAACCCTAGGACTATTCTTGTGTCTTGCCCGCCATATACCTGTTTGCCACCGTTCGACCCTGCCTGTGTTTCTGACCTCCTCTCTGCTTTAATAAAGCTTGCATATGGATCCGCACGTCTCACGTCTTGTCAGCCCCGTTACACTTACCTTTATGATGAACCATAAACTGTCAGATGAGCTATATCTTCATTTTTAGGTGAACATGAGGATCAAATGTTTTAGTGAAGTTCTATAAAATGCATCTCAAAACGTTGCACGGTGTGCTTGCTGTAAATTAAAAAAAATAAATATATTTGGATCACTTATGAATATTTGAACAAATGAAAAAAGTAATTTGACTACAACACCAGCCAAATTTGAACATTGTTTGTCATGAACCGTACAAAAAAATATTGTTTTTAGTACCAAAAGGTTTTATTTACAGAATTTTCATTGGAGGATAATGTTAATTAGAAGTACAAAGAATCTGAATTACAAAACAAGAATGTGTTGACTTTTAAACCAGAGCAGTCAGTTGCAGTTGTTTCCTTTAACGAGGAAGAACATTCCAGCTGCGACTCCCAGTATCCCCAGAGTCAGACCCAGACCCACTCCACAAAACACAGCTGGACCAACACTGGGCACCGCAACATCCACCTTTGTAGGTAACATACAAACACATGATGATGCATATGTCATAGAATGCAAATGCATTAGGGCTGTGCGATTTGGGGGAAAATATCAAATTGCGATTTTTTTGACAGATATTGCGATTTGATTTGTGATTTTAAATTTGCAAAGTCAAGCTTCAGCTCAAGATTGCCAATAATGTGCAGCACAGTATGGGTATCATTACCCTGCTGAAAAATACAATAGAAACCATCACAGAAATTCTTATAGTTTCCATTAAACCATTATAAAATTCCTTTTTGTTGTTCTATTGGTTGCCATCTGCCAGATTACATCCCACCAATTGAATCCATCAAATAGACACCACTATAGTTTACATTAAAACCAATACAATTCCCATTATAACCCTGAAATCCATTACATTTGTTATTGTGTTTTGGGAGGGGTTCTATTGGGGTTTTTTTCAGCAGGCAAGATTATAATGGTACAACTACATTTACAGAATTAACTTAATTACTGAATTTCACAGAAAATATTTGTTTATTTTTTATAAATAAAGAACTGTATTTCTTAAGTCAATTATTAAAGTAGTACATATGTTACATAGGCTGATTTACTCATTTTAAGTATTTGGGATTTTAAGAACAAGTGGAAAATGTGCTGAATGTTTCATTTCATCCCAGTTAAATTAGCAAGCAGTTAGACTGAATTTACATTTGTTTTAAACGCGGAGCCAGGCGCGAGTCGACACAGGTTGCGCGCGTGCGTCAAGCCTCATCCATACTGCCAGATGCGCTCGTGAAGACTTGCGGTGCGGAGCCGGGTGCGAGTATAAACGAGCATTACGAGACAGGCTGCGTGACTGCAGCAAGCATGAACAGCTCGTCAGTGACGCGGGATTCACGCCGCGTGGGGCAGAGAGGAGCGAGTATGAGAAGCATTCACAGACACAGGCTGTGTGTACTCTCTTCTGAATTGGGAATAGCCAACATGCATCATAAACTTATTTCAAATTAATCTGTTGGGGAGATAAAATGTGTAAGATAACATTCACGTACTAACAAAAACATCTAAGAATGTATCTTTTATTCTCCAGTACCGAAAACAGAACCGATACGGGAGCTTTTGATATGCGCTGTGACGCAGCTCTTGCAGATTACCTTTTTTGTTCGTTGTCTGTCATTTCGAAGCTTAAGTTGCATACGTTTTTCTTTAGTTTTAATTTGCCTAACTATCGATCTGACCCAGTAGACGCCATAATCCCACTCTGTCTCTCCCGCTTTCTGTTTTTTGTAATGGTGTGTTTTTACGCAGTTGGCTAGAGCAGTGCTGATTGGGGAGAACGGAGGTGCACTCACTCTATTGGTTAGTAAGACTGCAGCTCAAGGCTGGCAGCCATGCATATGCTCTGGAACAGAGTAATATCGCGTCCATATCGCAGGCCTTGCGATTAGGAAATCGCAACGTCTCAAATCACGATTTCGATTCGATTTCGATTAAGCGCACAGCCCTAAAATGCATACATTTAATTTTAATTTACTTTACTTTTACTTTTAGTCATTTAGCAGACGCTTTTATCCAAAGCGACTTACAAATAAGAAAAAGTAATTAAAACTAAAAGCTAAAACTCTATAAATACTATATATACACACATTTAAGAAAATAAAATAAATTAAATAAAAATGACAAATGCATACAACAACATTTCAAAACTAAACATTTAAATGAAAACAAAAAAATAAAGCTAAAAACAATTCAAAATATTAAAAGAACAAACGGTATGAGTATAATAAGAATTCTAACATAACACTAAGCCAAACACCAAAAAACAGCTACATATGTGTATATACAACCCACACACACACATATGCATATACATGGACATATATATATATATATATATACATTCAATATATATATATTATTTCATTTCCATTTTGTATGTTGAAGTACTGAAATAACTCAAATTAAATAAAACTAAAACGTAATAAAAAACCAATAGACATAATAAAAAACTAATAAAATGACAACATTACTACAACTGTAACTAAAACAGATAACTAATACAAATCAAACTACATTAGTTTATCAGTACTCCTAAAAAAAATAACACAGCCAAACACACATGCTAAAATAACAACTGTTAACATTTTAACTGTAAAGTGACAACATTATTGCTCAACAACAACAACAACATAATGATTGGAATATTTAGTTTTATTAAATATCCTCAGGGTATCTCGTTCCAAGTTTTGCTTTTAACATTCTTTTATATTTTTCCTAGGTAAGGCAAATTAAGTCATTCAGACACTGTATTTCTGATTAACGTCTAAATAGTGTTAAATGAGTCATGTCTGCCTATTGTTATGTTCACCCTAAATTGTTTCTGTTTGTAGTAATACATCAGGTGGTCTAACGCAAAGAATTTGGGAACAGTTAGGATTTATGAAAACCTTACATCCACTGAATATACATGAAGCAGTGCCTCACCCCATGTTTTAGTTTCCAAACGGCTGTCTAGAGCTTTGTGGAACACAGTGCAGCTGTAAATGTCTCCCTCTGCAGGCGTGAACATCAGAGAGGAGAAGATGTTGAAGGGCCGTCATTATTTATGCGATACTGGCTTAGACTCGTGCCTTCTGTCACAATCTGATTGTTTTTAGTCCAGGAGATATTGACAGGTGGAGGGAAGAGTCCAGTCACATGACAGATGAGAGTGTTCTCAACTTCCAGCACCACGTCATCTTTTGAATAGATGGAAGCATCTGGGGGGGGGGGCTGTGAACACTCACACAAAGGTACTCCACTTTTTCAGTTGTTTAAAGACTGAAATACATTTTTTATTTATATTTTAAGTGTAAATTCATTTAAATTTAAAATTGTTAACTCAAAGCAGGTATTACACACTTTGTAATTAACATCTGATGCATTTATAAATCACAATTGAAATAAAAAAAAAGTTCCTGAGATTCAATATCTTTAACAACATGTACAAACATTACTACAAACTAAACCACCAGGGTCCTAGAAATGCGGCCCTGAAACTGCAGCCTCCGCTATATTATCCAATTTGGTAGGTGGCGCTGTTACAAAAGAATAGGGTCCTAGAACTACGGTCCTGCAACTGCAGCCTCCAGTTGTGCAGGAACACCCTTCTCCCCCTGCTTACAGTAGTACTCGAAGTCGCTTTGGCCAGGGGAGTATGTTGGAGCCATGACCTCATGATATTTCAATGACCTCGTGAGTTATTAATGTAGGTTATGGTGCAATGCTAAAATAACTGTAATATTAGATCTGACCAGTGATGGGGAGTAACTAGTTACATGTAACAGAATTATATAAAATATAATAATTTAATTATAAAATAAATGTAACTAATCTGTTACAGTTACTGAGAAAAAATGTGCAATTAAATTACAGTTACTTAGGATAACAATTACAAAGGGTGTTACACCTGAATATTTTTGAAAAAGCTAGGATATGTTGAATAACATAAATTAGCTGCTTTGCCTGTTTGTGATGTGCACAATGCCTCCTGCCATTTATAGGCTGTTTAGTAAAGCGATGCTATTTATGGCGAATGATAAAAATGCCTTCCAGTGCTGGGGGAAAAAATACAAATCCTCCAGAAATCAGAAAAGGGCACAAATAAAACAGTTCAATGCAAAATATATTTTGCCAGGCAGCTAATAAAATGCTATATCGACATTTTAATGTCCAACCTGAGGAAGCATCTGCAGGTATGTAACTTAGTTAACTGTTAAGCAGTCATTAAATAAGGAAGAAAAGGCAAACTCAGAACTATCTCAAAGTATAAAGAGTGGCTAAACTCTGTTTTTGTGGTGGCTGTGCTTTAAAATAAAATGACTATAGGCTTAATTTAAGATCATGAAGGATTTTGAAAGTCTGACAGTAACAGTGTTGAGTACTGTAAGGATAACCCTGCCTTCTTTTAAATGTTTGAAAATGATAACCGATAAAAAACATTTGTTAGAAATTTAGAAAAGTAATCAAAAACTAATCAAGTGTAATAAGTTACATTGCTTTAATAAAGTGATTAAAATAGTTACACTACTTATTACATTTTAAATTATGTAATCTGTAACCAATTACATTTCCAAAGTAACCTTCCCAGCACTGGAGCTGACATGGTTACTAACCTTATTCAAGGAGGAAAAATGTTAGCTATATATTTTCTGTCAAAGGGTTCATAAATAGAAGTGTGGCTGGTAAAGACATTTTTAGCTAGCTAGCAGACTAGCTAATTTGTTATGAATGAAGATTAAAATTGTTAAATAAACTACTGGACATACACCAAGCAATACAGAGGTTGTAACGGCTTTCCAGTAAGCCGCTGCCGTTGATAATATGAGTGAGCAAGTTCTAGAACGCGTACAAACAGAGTCCGTGCAAACGGAAATAGATGCTAAACAATATCTTTCTTTATTTGTGCTACAATAACAATTGTTCCAAAACAACTTGCTATGAGTGTTCCTTGTTCATTAACATATACAATCCAAGTCCATACCTTGAAGACACAGCATAAGATCATAGTTCATCTTGCACGCTACTCTGCCGTGGGGTCAAAAACGGTGTGCTTCCCAATTACCAACGCACACACCTGGCTCTTTACACTGGTGTTACAATTATACTGTGTCACAGTGCCACCCAGTGGCCAAGTAAAACTTTACAATAAATGGCTCCAACACACCGGCCCCTTAATTGACTATGGCATAATGACATAACAATTACGCATTCATACAAAATGGAGCCTAACATACCAATTCAAACTTTGTACCAAGGGTATATAACACAAGACAGTAAATTTCCAACACCTATTAGACTACAGTATGCCATAGTTAGGCAGTTGCTTCTAATAGAAGACAAAGCTTATTAATTGGACGTTCCAAGTTGTTACATTTGGTTCGAACTTTTACTGAACGAACTAAACCTCTATTGTCTGGGTAAGTCTCCACAACTCTTCCAAGAAGCCATGAGCCACGTGGTGCTGTAGAATCAGCAATAATCACGATGTCTCCAAGGGTAATATTTCTACGTTCTTTGTTCCATTTTTGTCGCTCTTGCAACAAGGGTAGATATTCACGTACCCATCTTTTCCAGAAGAGATCCGAAATGTATTGCACTTGTCTCCATCTCCTTTTGGCATACAAATCAGACCTTTCAAATAAACCAGGCGGCAACGCAGGATTTCCTTTCATAAGCAGAAGGTGATTTGGTGTAAGAGCTTCCAAATCATTAGGATCATTGGACAGTTTAGAGATGGGTCGATCGTTCAAGATTGCTTCTGCTTCACACAAGACAGTTTGCAGTGCTTCGTCATCCAGCGTTTGTTGTCGAAGGACTGCACAAAGAATTTGTTTCACCATTTCGGATTATACGTTCCCATACTCCTCCATAATGAGGACTTGAAGGAGGATTAAAATTCAAATGAACTCCCTTCTGCAGTAGGGTCTTTTGAATCTTTTCATTGTTTATTGCAATGAGTGCCTCTCTTAGCTCCCGCTCAGTACCGATGAAATTCGTCCCATTATCAGACCTCATATGAGAGACCTGTCCTCGACGACAGACAAACCTACGCAAGGCATTGATGCATGAATCTGTATCGAGTGAGTATGCCATCTCCAAATGGACAGCTCTACTTGCCATACAAGTAAAAATCACTCCATAGCGTTTCACTTTACTCCGCCCCCTTTTCACTTCGATGGGGCCAAAAAAATCCACTCCTACATTAGTAAAAGGTGGAAAATCAGGGGTGATCCTTTCTACTGGAAGGTCTGCCATCTTCTGTTCACCAAACTTTCCCTTATAACGTCTACAGATGACACACTTGGAGATGATCTTTCTTGCAACAGAGTTGGCATTTGTAATCCAGTACTTGCACCGGAGCTTGGAAACCATTTGATTTCTGCCACCATGACCCAATTGTTCATGAATGTCTCGAAGTATGAGATGTGACACATGCTGATCCTTCGATAACAAGATGGGATGTTTCCTTTCACTTGGCATAGCTGACTTACCAAGTCTTCCTCCCACTAACAGCAGTCCATCATGCAACATAGGATCCAAACTATAGACAG